AGTGGTTAAAGCGTTCGCTCGTCACGCTGAAGACCAGGGTTCGATTCCCCACATGGGTACAATGTGTGAAGCCCATTTCTGGCGTCCCCCGCTGTGAATGTGCTGGAATATTTCTAAAGCGACGTAAAACTATGCTCATTCACTCACTGATAAAGTCCCGGTGAAGTTAAGAGAAGAAAGAAAGAATGACCATCGGGACTTTCATTGTTGTCTCCAGACCATCTTCAAGTGAATCTTTTTAAGCTTATTTTCTCCTTTGTCAAGTCTAAATTTTCACTTCCAAAAATGGTATTCCTTTAAAACAGTTTTAGTGTGTTCGACATCGTGTGTGCTTTCCCATTATAACCAAGACATTTGAAGTCTTTTTAAATCCTCAAGGCTTAATACTTCAAAGGAAGGATCTTTTGTCATCAAACGAAGTATTCTTAATCCTAATACGTGGCCATAAAAGAGTCCTCTCGTCACAGCGGTTACAATTAGCGTTCAAAGACGCCTGGAAATGTCATGTGTTGTACGGAAGGGGTCGTAGTTTTAGGCGTGAAAATAGTCCTATTTGATGGAAGAAATATTTAATGCAAGTGAAGCATGATTACATGATGAATGTGGGTAGAAACACAGTTAACGACATTCTTCAAGGTTTGATAATGAGAGAAGCGAGAGTACTAAGCGATGTATATGACGCAGAGCAGAGAGAAAGCTCCCCTGGTGAATCCAAACATTGTACCATCGCTACACAATGTGGCGACACTCATGCAGCAATCACAAGAGTGATGTTATCATACCAGATAGATATCACACAAGATAGACAGGGGAAGGAATATTTTCCATTTTAGGAACCACTACTTGACTGTGACGTCATGGACAACAACTGCCCCAAGACATGTTGGCAATACTTTCAGTGTATCCAGACGATGGCATCGCCACATTATTCAGGCCTCAAGACCATTCCAGGGGATCACGTCGACACGTCAACATTGACGTCAAAGGTTCTATGAAACGGCGGCAGAACAGGCGCTGGCAGACAGTCCTCGTGGTTTCTGGTGAGAGCAAGTTCCATCTCTTCAATGCGAGGAGTACTTGTACGTGCGTATTGCCGTCGCGAAGACGTTGTTAGTTATTGGGACTGACGGAGACTACACCATTTGAAGATTGCAGCGTACTGATTTGTTCCGTGACTGGAGGTCAGGACATTCCTGAACGTGTGCTGGGCGCTAATCTCACAGCAAAATGTTACATCGATGAGGTATTACGTGCAATTGTACTCCTCTTTCAACCAAAGATCGGATCTTGTTTTAACAGTAAAACGCAAGACCATGTAGATCACGTGCCTTTCCGTAGATCAATAACGTCAACGTTTTGCCTTCGCCAGCGCTCGCGACATTTGACCAGTCGAACACCAGTGGTACCACCCCGATCGTCAGGTTAGAACACAGTCCACTCCTTCAAATACGGGTACTCATGGAAGAAACTAAAGGCGTCACTAAATTGTATTTGATGACACCAACATTTCACTTCCAGATTTTAATCTCAATCATATTGCGTTTACAGTGGCTGCTCACTAAGAGATTTCCCTAAAGTTCTTTGTGTCATAAGGTTCCCGACCAGATGATGATGTAAATCTGTTTTATATTTTGTATTCATTATTACAAACGCTATATTTGATATTTCGTTTATATTTTCGTTAAACGGTAAATATCGTTTGTTAAAGTTTCGATCGTTCGATCGTTGTGGGGCTGGGTAGCCAAGTGGTTACGTCGTTCTCGGGTGTTATTGCGTGATATCTCTCTCACTCACTCACTCACTCACTCACTCACTCACTCACTCCTCACTCACCCAACCACTCACTCACACACACTCCTCCGTCGTTCGCCAGTGATTACTTTCACAAAATACAACTTTTATTCAACAGTTATAAAATTACTGCTGCGGCGGTTACGCATTGATAAAATAAAATATCAGTTCTTTTCATTTTAGTAATTCAGTGCATATCACTATAAAATACCTATATATTAATGAGGATTAAGCAAAGTGAGAAAGTCATTTAAGCATAATCAAACGTCAATTCTTCAGTGATACATATATATGTAGACCTATGGGAGTCGGCAGAAGAATGAAGCAGTAGTAAATTCAAGCGATCCCGCCGTTTTTCTATCCAGCTAGGGTATATCTACATATTAGAGTCTCCAGAGGAACCTGTTGATGTGATTAACAATTATCTCTCTAGATGAAACTGCCTGATTCATCATCGCCATTGTTTTCACAACAAACGTCCTCCGTAACATCCCGGGGATGATTTCAACATGTAAGACATCAACAACGCAGTTTGCCGTCGTCCATTTTCAACTGGTGATGGGATGGTGTGTTAAACCAAACAAACCCCACAGCTAAACCTCGTTAACGTGTTGGTGATGGTAGAGCAATGGGGAAAGATGAACAGTCTAGCTGTAGCTAAACGGTGTACATGAAGTATTATGACATCACATCACTACGTCATAAAGTCATTGCCTCATACCCGAAACTGCTAAGGACTCTACCCACTGATAACTTCATCCATGTTGTCGCCCCGGCGGGTGTTACATTGTTAAACTAACCATTACCCCTTGAGCAACGCCTCACCCACAGACAAAGATAAAGTCACGTTCAAAGTAACATATGTTATATTTGCGATTTACACTTTCGCTGTTACGTACAGATTCTAGCACTTTTCTTACGTTGAGTCTATCGGGATTCGAACCCTTGCTCTCATTATCAGGCACCTAATCGCCAGCACACAAAGTCAGCGATCTAAGATCTAAGTGTTATCCCAACTATCATATGGGTTTCATTTGACCACTTTCTAAATGGCACGGAGTATTCATGACGTTTAAAGTCAGGCGGAAAAAAGAGTTGCGAATGTCAATCACTCTAGGTCCATTTAGTAAATTCCAAGCGAAAATTTTGTTCATAATATTTGTAGAATGCTTATAAAGGTCCAAGTGAATGTACTGAAATTACCCTACGTAATCGACTTACAAAACAAATATAATTGTATTTAGCCTAAAGCTTCCAGCGGTCCCTCGGTGCGTGACAAAAGGTTTATTGATAGATTTGTGATTATTAGCAGTTATACATATACTGTATCTGATGTGGCTGTTTATCCTACAAAAACAGCAACCTTGCACCGAATATTAGCTATTCACACACACACACACACACACACACACACACACACACACACACACACACACACACACACACAGAGAGAGACACACACACACACACACACACACACACACACACACACACACACACACACACTTGGTTTACTACACGTCATCGTTCTCATGACGGCAGTCCAGTTTACAGGGCACCTTCATGTAGCTGCAATACGAGGCTGGCATTAAACAACGAACATACCGACGAAAGCGAGAAATAACAGAGCTGTTGCTGTTAATACCCATTTCTCTACGCCATGCAGTGAGTGTAACTGAGTCATTCTTTCTATACTGAAATCAAAATGTCGTGTCGTTAAGACTACGGTTTGAATTAAATATAATACCTAAGTATATCACAGAATCGCCATATGGTCACAACATCGGGTGAAGCTTTGCCTTTGTGCCCATGTTAAACACTGGCTGACACTCTGTGCCATCGAAGTTTCTGTTCTTTCTGTCCGATCCCAGCCAGCACTTTAACGTACACAGGCATATCAGCTTCTTTCGTTACTTCAGGTTAAGAGGCGAGAATTAAATGGACTTTAAGGTAAATAACACAGTGTGTAGGAGTGCAGCGATTACAGCTTCATTCCGATATATTGTCAGACATTCTTGAACCGGTTGGTTTTTATATAGAGTCTTATATTAATGGCATACATACCAGGCGCATCTTGCTTTTTCAAACTATTTACAGGGGTACTGTTATCATAGATTCCTTACTATGGAGTTGACGTCACATCAGAAAGGCATTGCCTCCTTCAGTACTCGCGCCTGAGCCGACCGGTCGTTGTTTTGTCCCCGTCGGACCGAACGCCATGCAAGGCATCAACGAGTACTAATTCTTTTTCACATCCTATCTTTTGACGCACGCGGGTGATCAGACCACTGACCTTCTGTAGTCACTCGATCCACTAGAGTGTGTGAAGGAGTTTAGTTTTACGACGCACTCAGCAATATTCCAGCTATATGGCGGCCTTCTGTAAACAATCGAGTCTGGACCAGACGATCCAGTGATCAACAGCATAACCATCGATCTACGCAATTGGGATTCGATGACGTGTCAACCAAGTCAGCGAGACTGACCACCCGATCCCGTTAGTCGCCTTTTACGACAATCATTGGTTACTGAAGATCAATTCTAACCCGGATCTTCACGGGTCCGTCCCACTAGACCACGGAAACAGTCCTGCTGGTCAAGAACAAATTCAATCAGGTTAAAAGCAAAACAACCGAAGACAACTTGGCGTATTTGCTTTTACAACGAAAAAATGAAAGAAAACATCAATATATAAGATCGGAGCCTTCAGCTTCACCTATTTTTACTCTTTCTACAAACAATGGAAACAAAAATATATTTACTTTATCTGTTTTTATAGAAACTATGAATATACTTTCGCATATCATGGTGAAATATCATCTCCATAGTTTAGATAGACACTAAAAACAACACTTAACTTTTGAGAAGTATAACGGATGCTGTCTTGACATTTCAAACATTGCACAAGGACATAGCATGAGTCGATTAACACTTTGAAATCTTTGCAGGAATAGAAAGTTATTTTCGCATATGTTTAACAAAACAAACCGATTAAAGACGACCAATATAGTGTTATGTCAATACAGAGACATCAGCAGTCAGGAGCCATTATTGGGTATCACGCCGTCATGTTTGATGACGTCACAATGATTCGACGTCATCAGTACAACATACACAGTGTGTCGTCACGATAGTAGTGTGTGGTGCTTGCTTTATATTTTACAAGGGGCGCTTTATCAACCTAAGGAGGTTGTTTGAATAATGGCAAAATGGATCTGGTGAGCTGATTAAAAGTGAAAATAGAAATAATCAAACAGTTCTCATCACTTCTACTGTCATCAAGCAGTTCTTATCACTTCCAGTGTCCTCAAACAGTTCTCGTCACGTACACTGTCACCAAAGAGTTCTCATTATTTCCAGTGTCATCAAACAATTCTCATCACATTCAGTGTCCGCAAACAGTTCTCACCACTTCCAGTGTCCTCAAACAGTTCTCACCACTTCCAGTGTCCTCAAACAGTTCTCGTCACTTCCAGTGTCCTCAAACAGTTCTCGTCACTTCCAGTGTCCTCAAACAGTTCTCATCACTTCCAGTGTCCTCAAACAGTTCTCGTCACGTACACTGTCACCAAAGAGTTCTCATAATTTCCAGTGTCCTCAAACAGTTCTCACCACTTCCCGTGTCCTCAAACAGTTCTCATCACTTCCAGTGTCCTCAAACAGTTCTCACCAATTCCAGTGTCCTCAAACAGTTCTCATCACATCCAGTTTCCTCAAACAGTTCTCATCACTTCCAGTGTCCTCAAAAAATTCTCATCATCACATCCAGTGTCCTCAAACAGTTCTCATCACATTCAGTGTCCTCAAACAGTTCTCATCATCACTTCCAGTGTCATCAAACAGTTCTCATGACTTCCAGTGTCCTCAAACAGTTCTCATCATCACTTCCAGTGTCCTCAAACAGTTCTCATCACATCCAGTTTCCTCAAACGGTTCTCATCACTTCCAGTGTCCTCAAACAGTTCTCATCACATCCAGTTTCAAACAGTTCTCATCACTTCCAGTGTCCTCAAACAGTTCTCATCACTTCCAGTGTCCTCAAACAGTTCTCATCATCACTTCCAGTGTCCTCAAACAGTTCTCATCACTTCCAGTGTCCTCAAACAGTTCTCATCACTTCCAGTGTCCTCAAACAGTTCTCATCACTTCCAGTGTCCTCAAACAGTTCTCATCATCACTTCCAGTGTCCTCAAACAGTTCTCACCACTTCCAGTGTGTCAGTTCACTTCCAAACAGTTCTCATCACATTCAGTGTCCTCAAACAGTTCTCATCACTTCCAGTGTCCTCAAACAGTTCTCATCACTTCCAGTGTCCTCAAACAGTTCTCATCACTTCAAGTGTCCTCAAACAGTTCTCATCACTTCCAGTGTCCTCAAACAGTTCTCATCACAGTTCTCATCACTTCCAGTGTCCTCAAACAGTTCTCATCACAGTTCTCATCACACCCAGTGTCCTCAAACAGTTTTCATCACAGTTCTTATCACTTCCAGTGTTATTAAACAGTTTTCATCACGTCCACTGTCATGAAATAGTTCTCATCACTTGCAATATCATCAAAAAGTTCTCCTCACTTCAAGTGTCATCTATTTATTTTCATCACTTCAAATGTCAGGAAATTATTTTCACCACTTCCGTAATATTTAACCATTTAACCAATTTCACATCATAAAAAATATTCTAGATGGTTTCTCTCCAAACAACACATGGTTAGCCCTTACCGCACTCAGGCGTGCTACGCATGTATGTAGGATGTTATTCCTGATTTTGGCACTTTCACAGAACGTCGATTAATCTCTGTCAATCCTTTGATTCAACTCAGAGGCCTCGCGGTAGATAAGGCGGTGCATAGATTATGATCCTATGATGACAGCTCTATGGCTAAGAGAACCCACTCTATATTGTACAAGGAATACTGGACGGTACCATCAGGACACCACATTAACACATTGTCTTCCATGGTGACAACTCCCGTGTTCATGGTGCACTAATCGACAGCACAACATCCAGAGAATGCCAACATTGAACCCACACTTTTACACCTCTTGAAACCGGCTGGCGCATGATAGCGAGAAGGCACGCTTGAGGAATCTAGCCAGGCGCTGGGGGAGGAGTGGTACGGACTGTCTGTTATCGCCATTGGGAGACTTCTACACAGTAAGTCTCGGCGAGTGAATGAATGCTTGACAAATCCTGGCGGTATCACGCACTACTGAGTCATAACACCTCAACTTTGAAAAGTTGATCTTAGCTCTATCCTCCTTCAACAATGTAAACAATGGATGCTGTATTGTTTCTTGTATTGAGGCAATGAATGCTGTATTGTTTCTTGTATTGAGACCTTGGATGCTGTATTGTTTCTTGTATTGAGGCCTTGGATGCTGTATTGTTTCTTGTATTGAGGCCTTGGATGCTGTATTGTTTCTTGTATTGAGGCCTTGGATGCTGTATTGTTTCTTGTATTGAGGCCTTGGATGCTGTATTGTTTCTTGTATTGAGGCCTTGGATGCTGTATTGTTTCTTGTATTGAGGCAATGAATGCTGTATTGATGTATTTGTATTGTATTCTTGTATATTGAGGCAATGAATGCTGTATTGTTTCTTGTATTGAGGCCTTGAATGCTGTATTGTTTCGTGTATTGAGGCCTTGGATGCTGTATTGTTTCTTGTAAAGAGGCAATGAATGCTGTATTGTTTCTTGTATTGAGGCCTTGGATGCTGTATTGTTTCTTGTATTGAGACCTTGGATGCTGTATTGATTCTTATATTGAGGCCTTGGATGCTGTATTGTTTCTTGTATTGAGGCCTTGGATGCTGTATTGTTTCTTGTATTGGGGCAATGAATGATGTATTCTTTCTTGTATTGAGGCCTTGGATGCTGTATTGTTTCTTGTATTGAGGCAATGAATGATGTATTCTTTCTTGTATTGAGGCCTTGGATGCTGTATTGTTTCTTGTATTGAAGCAATGAATGTTGTATTGTTTCTTGTATTGAGGCCTTGGATGCTGATTTGTTTCTTGTATTGAGGCCTTGGATGCTGTATTGTTTCTTGTATTGAGGCAATGAATGCTGTATTGTTTCTTGTATTGAGGCCTTGGATGCTGTATTGTTTCTTGTATTGAGGCCTTGGATGCTGTATTGTTTCTTGTATTGAGGCCTTGGATGCTGTATTGTTTCTTGTATTGAGGCCTTGGATGCTGTATTGTTTCTTGTATAGAAGCAATGAATGCTGTATTGTTTCTTGTATTGAGGCAATGAATGCTGTATTGTTTCTTGTATTGAGGCCTTGGATGCTGTATTGTTTCTTGTATTGAGGCCTTGGATGCTGCATTGTTTCTTGATTGAGGTCTTGGATGCTGTATTGTATTGAGGCCTTGTATTGTATTGAGGCCTTGGATGCTGTATTGTTTCTTGTATTGAGGCCTTGGATGCTGTATTGTTTCTTGTATTGAGGCCTTGATGTTGATTGTTTCCTATGCAATGAATGCTGTATTGTTTCTTGTATTGAGGCAATATATTGTTTCGTGTAGATGCTGTATTGTTTCTTAAAGAGGATGCTGTATTGTTTCTTGTATTGAGGCCTTGGATGCTGTATTGTTTCTTGTATTGAGACCTTGGATGCTGTATTGATTCTGATATGATGCTGTATTCTTTCTTGTGAGGCCTTTGATGTGTTTTTGTATTGGGGCAATGAATGATGTATTCCTTCTTGTATTGAGGCCTTGGATGCTGTATTGTTTCTTATATTGAGGCAATGGATGATGTATTCTTTCTTGTATTGAGGCCTTGGATGCTGTATTGTTTCTTGTATTGAGGCCTTGGATGCTGTATTGTTTCTTGTATTGAGGCCTTGGATGCTGTATTGTTTCTTGTATTGAGGCCTTGGATGCTGTATTGTTTCTTGTATTGAGACCTTGGATGCTGTATTGTTTCTTGTATTGAGGCCTTGGATGCTGTATTGTTTCTTGTATAGAAGCAATGAATGCTGTATTGTTTCTTGTATTGAGGCAATGAATGATGTATTCTTTCTTGTATTGAGGCCTTGGATGCTGTATTGTTTCTTGAATTGAGGCCTTGGATGCTGATTTGTTTCTTATATTGAGGCCTTGGATGCTGTATTGTTTCTTGTATTGAGGCCTTGGATGCTGTATTGTTTCTTGTATAGAAGCAATGAATGCTGTATTGTTTCTTGTATTGAGGCAATGAATGATGTATTGTTTCTTGTATTGAGGCCTTGGATGCTGTATTGTTTCTTGTATTGAGGCCTTGGATGCTGTATTGTTTCTTGTATTGAGGCCTTGGATGCTGTATTGTTTCTTGTATTGAGACCTTGGATGCTGATTTGTTTCTTATATTGAGGCCTTGGATGCTGTATTGTTTCTTGTATTGAGGCCTTGGATGCTGTATTGTTTCTTGTATAGAAGCAATGAATGCTGTATTGTTTCTTGTATTGAGGCCTTGGATGCTGTATTGTTTCTTATATTGAGGCCTTGGATGCTGTATTGTTTCTTGTATTGAGGCCTTGGATGCTGTATTGTTTCTTGTATTGAGGCCTTGGATGCTGTATTGTTTCTTGTATTGAGGCCTTGGATGCTGTATTGTTTCTTGTATTGAAGCAATGATGCTGTATTGTTTCTTGTATTGAGGCCTTGGATGCTGTATTGTTTCTTGTATTGAAGCAATGAATGCTGTATTGTTTCTTGTATTGAGGCAATGAATGATGTATTGTTTCTTGTATTGAGGCCTTGGATGCTGTATTGTTTCTTGTATTGAGGCCTTGGATGCTGTATTGTTTCTTGTATTGAGGCCTTGGATGTTGTATTGTTTCTTGTATAGAAGCAATGAATGCTGTATTGTTTCTTGTATTGAGACCTTGGATGCTGATTTGTTTCTTGTATTGAGACCTTGGATGCTGATTTGTTTCTTGTATTGAGGCCTTGGATGCTGTATTGTTTCTTGTATTGAGGCCTTGGATGCTGTATTGTTTCTTGTATTGAGGCCTTGGATGCTGTATTGTTTCTTGTATTGAGGCCTTGGATGCTGTATTGTTTCTTGTATTGAGGCCTTGGATGTTGTATTGTTTCTTGTATAGAGGCAATGAATGCTGTATTGTTTCTTGTATTGAAGCAATGAATGCTGTATTGTTTCTTGTATTGAGGCCTTGGATGCTTTAGGGAACAACTTCTGCGGAAAAGTACTTTGACGCTCTTTGAAAACTTGAAAGATTATGTTCGATTTTACCTCAAAAGTGACTTTGATTGCACAACTGTTTATATTGTTTACATATGGCTACATTTTCAAACGATTTCATAGTTCCCTTTATCATTGTCATTATCTTTGCCATAAAACTTCAGTGTAATACAAACAGAGAATTATTCCTAACACCGTGTAAACACATTGTTGTCAAACCTCCGACTGTCACCACTGAAGTGTCAGAGTATCCAGCTGTTAGCAAGCCACACTACTGAGAACATTCATGTCTTGTCCTCTTGGTTTAAACGCCCGCATCTAAAGCATCTAGAGTCCAAGTCCAATATGTACATCCCCTATGTACCTTAATTGTACTCATTGACGTGAATAAAGAAAGTGTTAAAAACATCCTGAAAACAATAGACTGAATGAGGTCCAATGAAAACAACATAAAACAAAAACAAAACAAGTCCAAATATAAAAGTGTAAGACATTACGGCAGACGGGATAAAAAGAAATTAAAGCAATAAAAGCTCAGAACATATCAAAGTTACAAATATCTATAATAACTTGTTACTGACAGTGCTGTCTGGTGGCCTTGTGCCAAAGCGTTGCCTCTTCCTGCTGATGACTCGGAGTCCCCCAACTACACAGTAGTACAATGTATGACGCCTGTTCCTGTTTCACCTGCTATGACTCGGAGTCCCCCACCCACACAGGAGTACAATGTATGACGCCTGTTCCTGTGTCCCCTGCTATGACTCGGAGTCCCCCACCCACACAATAGTACACAATGTATGACGCCTGTTCCTGTGTCCCCTGCTATGACTCGGAGTCCCCCACCCACACAGTAGTACAATGTATGACGCCTGTTCCTGTGTCCCCTGCTATGACTCGGAGTCCCCACCCACACAATAGTACAATGTATGACGCCTGTTCCTGTGTCCCCTGCTATGACTCGGAGTCCCCCACCCACACAATAGTACACTGTATGACGCCTGTTCCTGTGTCCCCTGCTATGACTCGGAGTCCCCCACCCACTCACTACAAGTGGTTGTAGGGGGCGTTGATTCCCCAGGGCTGGGTAGTCCCTCCCATCATCCATCAAGTCCCCTCCCACACATATTCCTTTGTGCATACGTACAGTATTTCTTTAGTCCACTCACTTGTATTGGCTACCCTCATGAGTCTCTTTCATCGATTTCAACCATGATGTGATTATATGTTACGGAACCCTTCAGATTAAGGCTCTCAGAGCTAAGGTACCACACATGTATTTTGCAGGTCACTTGGTCCCACTTGGTCGGCGTAACATACTTCAATCGTAACCATAGCCTCC